GGGCCACATCGCAAGGGCGACCACCGCCATGCTTAATGCAGTAGCCGTTCCCACGGTCTTTGGCATTACACGACGGGTCCTTGCACGATCGCTTCCCGCCGTGGCGGTGGCAGAGACCGTTGCGCTGTGAGACGCGCTCGCAGGCCTCGACCGTGCAGTACTTGGACGGGCGCCAGCGTGGCTTTGTCGGCACCACTGCCGTCACCTCAACTGGGGCAATGCTGGGCTCGCACAAAAGGCTCTTGATCGACGGAAGTGCAAACGTCGTCGGCGCGGGACGCGTTTGCTCATAGGGCGGGGACGACACGAGGTGGTCGCGGAAGAGCATCGACGGCAGAAGCACCATGTCTCGCGGGTGCGCGGGCAGCGGTGCGGCAGCATAGTAGGGGGCCTCCGAGTAGTGGTGGTACATCATGATGCTGCGTTGGTCGTTTGGGCGCCAATCTCGAAATGCAATTTCGCAGTGGAAAGAAGATCGAAGCGAATATTACCCGCGCATCATCCCACTCTCATGGCGAAAGCAGCTGTTTTGTTATCATGAGAGCGCCGTACCACCTCGACACTACAGCTTTGTATGAAGTAGATCCGGGATGTAAACCAGATGGCGATAGGTTTATTCCGTGGCCATTGTTTACGTTGCAGAGTTGGCCCTTCTCCACGTCATCCTGGATGAGAAGATCCACGCCGTGGTACGGCGCTGCGGTAAGCCGCTGTCCGCAGATCACACTCTGCTACGGTCGATCGCTCGTCGCGAAGGGGAGAGGCAGTCGTCATGCAACGAATTCATAGTGAATGAGGCGCTGATAGGCAGTGTCGAGACGGTGCGAGAAACGTGGCCGCAGGTCTATTCTACAGCGGCCACTGGGACACCGGCTGCCGAACGCGGCGTCGGCGTTTAGTACACCAGAAAAAAGATCGCTTTTTCTCTGCGACACGTGGTGGAGACCCGGAATTTGATTCCTCCAGGACCGGCGCGGCGGTACTGTAAACTAAACGACGTGACGGCATTACGCGCTGCCAAACCTGTTTAGAGGACAACCATGGCGTCTGTACACGTTGGCTGTTGTTCGACGAGATAATTGAATGGCCAAACAAAAGCTGTGCGGAAAGGCACTCTCCATGCCTCTTGCACACCGCTGCGATTTGGTGACAAGTCTCTTTGCAGCGCTAAATAATGCCGACGTGGTACGCCCACTTCAAGGATCCGATGCATCATCAGTTGCGATTAGTGCATCAGGTGCATTCTTGGGTGCAGCGTCGCCCTACGTCGCAAAACGGAGCAATCCGTGTTGAGAAGAAACATCGAATTTTGGTGCTTCACTCGCACTCGCATGGACAAGAAGCGGTGACGTCCAAGCTCGCAATGGCCATAAAACAAAGGCGCTAAGTGTAATGGAATGATGGGACACCGATCAAATTGTATACCTGTACTTCGTTGCGCAACCATGTCGTATTTGCTCGAGCAATCACGGCATTGACTGTTTCAAGGAGCTCGACGACGCCGAGTCCATGTGATTGATTGAAAGAAGCCATCAACGACGACGACGACGACGTACGCGTATACGTAGTCGATACGAGGAGCGAGTGACGTACTAGATGGAGTGGCGCTCTACTGTCATGCAGTCACTTTGAACGGATGGGGATGGGCTGACGACGACGACGACGACGCGGGGCGCCGAGCCCTGCAGCTCGGACTGGAAAACGCGAATACCACGAAGCGACTGGGCTCTTGATTGCTCGACGTACGTTGGCACGTCGCAGCAGCACCGCGAACGAAGCCGAAAGACCTTGCGACGACGTTGGGTATGCTACACCGCAGTCATCTTTCTATTAGTGCTGGAACGAGCAGGAAATTGCAATGACATTTCCTGTCTCCTAGTGCTGGACATAACTTGCCGCTGGGTTGGCACACGCAGTGCCAAGTTCGGGCAGCTAAATAGGCCCTCGTTGTGATTGCGGACAGATATGAAATGTTGGCGACGTAAATTCGCTGGCTTTCCCCTACAATGAGGCGTAGCATCATACAACGCTATATAGACCGATTCGATAACAAAACAATTCGTTTCTCTGTTTTAAATACGCTCATGCATCCTCCGCATCCATTAGCACGCGTCGTTGACCAGCACCATGCGGTGGTG